AGGCTTTCTGCTCCTGCAAGGATTTAAAAAGCCTGGGAAACCCTACACAGGGTTGCTCTGAGTTGGAACTGGCTCGATGGTACTTCACACCAACAATGACCTTATCATTTCCGCTAGACTGAGTCTAACTAAGCCTTAGCTGTGAATTACAAAGTGTCCTGGTGGCCCTGTGGTCAAGCCCTTGACAATTAACTGAAACGTTGGTGTTTTGAACCCACCAGCTGCTCCTTGGGAGAAAATGTGGCAGTCTGTCTTAATGAAGAGTAGTCTTGGAACCCTACAGGGCGGTTCTACTCTGTTCTATGGGGTAATTAGTAGGAGCTGGGGTTCACTAAAGGGCCTTTTAAACAGTTTGCTTTTTATAGTAAGAGTTCTGGGTTATAAACTAGAGTATTTACACGTGACATTGGAGAGTGAATGACACAATCTTTCTGTGGAAACTCCACACTAGGGAACTGATTTGAAGGAAAATACCAAGATGCTGCCAAATTCATGTACAAGGACAGTTATTACAGCAACAAATGGTTAACATAAATGTCCAGTAATCAAAAAAATGTCAAGTAAATACATATACAACCTTCATGAAATTAAATATGTATCATTCTTGTTGTTGTTGTTAGGTGCCATCGAGTTGGTACCGACTCATAGCGACCCTATGCACAGCAGAACGAAACACTGCCCAATCCTGGGCCAACCTCACTATTGTTGCCACGCTTGAGTCCATCGATGCTGCCACTTGGCCAATCCATTTCACTGGGAGTCTTCCTCTGTTTTCTGACCCTCCACCTTACCAAACATGATAATGCTTCTCCAGTGACTGGTCCCTCCTGACAATATGTCCAAAGTATGAGATGAAGTTTGGCCATCTTAGCTTCCAAGGAGCACTCTGGGTTTGAACCGCCAACCTTGCAGCTCAAACTGACCTTTTGGTCCAGTGCATTCTCCTGAAGCTTCACACCAGGACCGTCTTAGATAACACACAGGTTATCTAAGGAGTATTTGTTGTTGTTGTTGTTATGTGCCGTGGAGTCGGTTCCAACTCATAGTGACCCTGTACAGGGTTTCCGAGGCTGTAAATCTTTATAGGAGCAGAAAACCTCATCTTTCTCCTGCGGAACAGCTGGTAGTTTCGAACTGCTGACCCTGAGGTTAGCCGCCCGATTCAACTGCTTAATGATAGGTGAACATAAAGTGAGGAAAAAGATAACTTCAACCCTCCTTAGATAACCTGTGGTTCAAACCCACCAGCCGCTCCTGGGAAACCCTATACAGGGTCTCTATGAGTCAGAACCAACTAGACGGCACTTCACAACAACAACAACAACAACAAGCAATCCTTTAGAATACAGCAATTTTGCAAACGCATACAAACGCAATAAGGAGAAAAATGAGACAGGAAGGAAAAAAAATGTAAGAAAAAGCCCCCAAGTAGTCACTGTAATTGGCTCAGCTGCTCCGTGCGGGCGACTTGATTCCACTCATGGTGACCCTGTACACATCTTTATGGGAACAGAAAGCCTCATCTTTCTCCTACAGAGCGGCTGGTGGGCTCAAACTGCTGAGCTTGGGGTTAGCAGCCCCACACGGAACCCACTCTGCTACCACGGCTCCTTAGCTGCTATTACGGTGCTGGTGATAGTTGTGTGCCGGCGGGTTAGTTCAAACTCATAGTCACCCTCCGCAGGGTTTCCAAGGCTGTCCATCTTGATGGAAACAGGAAGTCTCATCTAGGCGAAGTGACCGAGGATCCTAGTGTTCTTTTTAAACTTTTTCTCATGACATATTTTTCTTCCTTTATAAAAACTATGCTGCACTCTATCAGAAAATCTTTTTAAAAATAAAAAGATTATACTGTTTTTGGTCTCTGATCCTGTGGGAAAAAGCCAAAATATTTATTGAGGTTACAGTCTCTGTCCTGAAATACAGAACATCTGTAATAACAATCTCAGGACGCCTCCCTCACCACGAGCAGGGTTTCCTACTTAAAAGAACTGTCATAAAAATTCCATAACACGCAGGCGCCCCAGGCAAGCTAAACATCTCTCCCACATTCCTCTCCTCCGATTCTGTTTTGTAGCAGCGGAAGATGACAACACCCATGCCACAGAGTGATAATATTTTTTTTTTTTTCATTTTCAAGCAGTTTCTTAGTTTTTAAAAATTGGCTTTTAAATGTATTTTTGTTATTTTGTGTTTTAACAAATTAATGAGTCCTTGGCTCTTCCTAGAAGGTGTTTCTTATTCACTCAGGTAAGCCTCGTTTGCTAGTATTTTTCACAGAATCCCCAGGAATACGTTACCCCAGCCCACTGCAGTGGGTCAGATCCCCTGCTTAACTTGTTACATCAAGAATGTGAAGCAAGCAAGCAAACAACTTAACTGTCATTTTTAAGATCAAGAAATATGCCAAAGATGGTAGGTGCTGAACCAAAGAATTCTAAGAAACAGGCTAAAAATAACCGAACAGATTCCATTTTCTTTCATTTTTTTAAAATGTTTTATTGTGAATTATGTGATAGTTTACATGGGAGAACATTAGTTTTACATTCATCCTATCGTATATTGTTTCCTTTCCATGGTTACAAACCCCTCCATGCATCATCAACCAACCAAAGAGTATACCCTACAAGCCTGCCCCCTTGTCGTCAGCACACAGCCCCTCTCCTCTGTGTCTAAAGTCCCCAGCTGCTCCATCTCTCCACGTCATCATCTCTGCCTCCATCTCAGGCATCACTGCTTCTCTGGGTAGGGTCCCGCTCTCTGCTCTTCTCCCTTGATGGTCCCAGGGACCTCCGCTCCTAGACTGTAAAGTTAATCACTCCCATCCTTGCTACAAAACGTCTACCTTTACATTTCCAACCCTCACAATCAGTCCTGATAACAATTATTCACTATTGCTATCACAAGAGACCTATCCGCATTTCCTTTCACCAGCCCCGACTAGCCTAGACAGATTGGATACTACTCACTGGAGAGTCTACCTTCCTCCACGCCCTCTGGATCTGGGTTCCCTCTTGAAAGCTTGTAAGCCAGTCACTTCTTGCCTTTGTAGGATTTTCTTTCTTTCATTTAAATATCAATATTGGTTATACAAAAACACCCAAAGCAACCTAAATATCCATCAATAAGGGACTAGTAACATTATCATAGATGACTCAATAAATAGACACCTACAAACAGAATGATGTGGATTTCTCTGCCTTCTGGTTGAATGATATTCTAGATATACATGAAAACAGGTTGGTGCAGAATAATCAAACCAATTCCTGTGCAGTTAGTCCTGACTCATGGCAACCCGATGTGTGCAGAGTAGAATAGAGTTTTCAATGGCTGTGGCCTTTTAGAAGTCAATAGCCAGACCTTTCTTCCAAGGTGCTTCTGGGTGGGTTCTCTGGGTGGACTCACACCATTAATCTTTCAGTTGAAAGTTGAGTGGTCAACCATCTGCGCCACCCAGCGCAAGGGTCTTGGACCTGGTATGGTAGGATAAGCATTGGCCCACAAGGTCTGTAGTTTAAACTCACCAGTTGCTCCTTGGGAACCCTTATACAGGGTCGCCATGAGTCGGAACCACCAGCACTGAACCAATGTATCTATCCATCTAGCTGGAGTCCTGGTGTGGCGCTGTGGGTTAGGGTGAATGCGCTGGACTGCATGGTTGGTTTGAACCAAAAGGTCAGTGGTTCAAGCTTACCAGATGCTCCTCAGAAACCCTATACAGGGTGGCTATGAGGTGGATGGCACTTAACAACAAGAGCAATCCATCTCTGTCTATATGTGATTACATATTGCATAAAATAATGGATAGGCATCTATGTGCCTGTATATAAATAATATTTCTAAGAGAAAACCACTATTACCCTCTGAACAAGTAGAGAATGAGGGAGGTTTTTACTTTGTGTTTTATGCGTTCTGTTCTGTTGCCAATTCTTTTACATTGAGTCATCATTGTATAATTTTTTTCTTAAGTAGTTTCAAAATAGGTTCTGTCTGGGGGACAAAGAAAGTCAACATTTTTGTGAAAGTAAAAAAAAACAAAAAGCAACCTCATCCACTGTTGACTTTTTGAAAAACAAAGTTGTAATTCACATACCATAAATCTCACTGTTAGTGGACAGTTTGTTGGCTGGATTTTGCACTAAACTGTAAAAATCTATGACATGAGACACAAAAATATCTTTCAAGTACAAGAACAGCTTTTTTGTCTAAGATATCTCTGAGGTTAAAGTACTCGACAGCGAATCAAAAGGTTCAAGGTTCAAACCCACCAGCTGTTCCCCACAGATGAAGGATGTGACAGCCAACTGTCATAAAGATTGTTGTTGTTAAGTGTCGTCGAGTCGGTTCACACCCATAGCGACCCTGTATAGGGCTTCCGAAGAGCAGCTGGTGAGCTTGAACCGCCAACCTTGGCGATTCAAGCCAACTTTGCAGTCTAGCGCATTAACCCACAGCACCACACAGAACTGGAAATCCTATGGGGTAGTTCTACTTTGTCCTAAAGGATTATTACGTCAGCAGTGACTAGTAGATAACGGTGTAAGGCTTTTGTTTTGTTGTTTTTTTAAATAAAAAATCAAAACCAATTCGTGACCACCAGAAGGGTAAAACTCACTCTTTAGATTATGGACAAAAAATAAGACAAGGAGCAGCGGACCTCAGCAAGTTTACGGCCCATTTTCCAGCCGCAGGGTCACGTGGGAAAAGGCCACAGCTCTAAGGACCCTCAGGAGCGCCGGCAACCAGGGGTTGGGTGCTTCTCAAACAATGGCAAGGGTTTCCTTTAACCTTTGAACTTTGAGCGTTTTCAAGTCTACAGTCCCTTCCCCCAATGACCCACCCAAAGCTGACTGCGGAGACCGCGATTTCGGGGAGCAGTCGCTCAACACCCCGAGGTCACTCCCTGGAGCGGTGGGTGGGATACTGCGTCTGCACCCCCGGGCCCTTACCCCCTAGCCCGCAGCCGCAGCCGGACATCGCCAGCCCCCGCCGGTACTCACCTGTGCCCCGGAGCATGTTGTCCCGGAGCAGGTCCCCGCTGGAGAGGTGCTTTAGCTCGAAGTGCTTGATGATGCGCGACGACACGGTGCCTTTGCCCGAGCCCGGGGCCCCCATGATCGCCGCGCGAAGCAGCCGCGCTGACGCCCCCATGGCCGCAAACCAGAGCTGGGGCCTGGCCCGCGCGATCGCGCCCCGTGCCGCCGGCTGGCAGCGCCCAGAGCCCCGCGCTCCCGGAAGTGAGGCGTTCCGCCTGGTTCGGACCCAAAGTCATCCGGGACCGCCCTCGCTAGGCCCGGCCCCGAAGTCATCCGAGCCCCGCGCGCGCGTGCTCGTGCGGCCCGGATCGCGATTACCCCGCCTCTTAGGCGCGCCACCGCCCGGCCAGGCCCGGAGGTCAAGCCCGTCCCCCACATGTGCTCGCGCCCGGCTCGCCTCCGCGGCCACCCAACCCTCCGCCCCCGCAGGCCCCGCGGCGCAGTCACTTATCCCCTTCCCTACCCACCTGCTCCCCTCTTAGCCCTTCGGCCTCCGGGGATGGGGGGGCCCTAGGTTCCCAGCATGTCGTCCCGCCCCTCTGCTCTCTCTCCTGAAAACCTTGCGCCCCAATCCCCCCAAGCGCGCTCCTGTGCCCCCTCCCACCCGATCGCCACCCTCCCCCACACACCTTCTTTACTC